TTTTCGCTACTAGTAAATCTTGAAAAGTTTCTGCTAGACCATTGCCTTAGCCAATCTCATCCAGTGTCCATAGTCCAGATATAGGGCCTGGAATTTTCGCTGAAGACGAGCTTGTTGAAAATGACTAACATTGTCGATTTAACAGATTACCTTGTCTTTTGCTAGAGTTTGTAACCCAGAATTGACATCCCGCTACATGATAAAGCACTTAACACGCAAGTTTTACTAGTTTTTATTCGTATGATTTGAATTCCATTGATCATGCTCACTCATGTAGCAATCAGTTTTTATGAGATTTATTGGTTGGTGTAAAGTTTGCAAACTCGTCAAGACTGGCTGAAACTTTTTTGTCTCATACCTCTTTCATAGCCCCTAGGCTTTTTTGATCTTATCTTAGTTTGTAGGCGTTTTCAAAAACATTTTCCCTATAGAGTTTAGAGGCTTTATTTAATGTACGATTCGTATCACGCTTGTTCGCAATGGTGATGCAAACTTCTTCTATCAAAATTCTACTTTCTTTTCCATTTGATCTGATTTTATCTCTATAAACGTCAACATGTTGTAAGCTTCTCTTTCATCACAGAGCTGTTCAGCAAGCCTTCGCAAATGCATTATCTGGAAGAGGAAGAAGAAGCTGTTGAAAGAAGCTGTTGTACCAGATCTTTTTGAAGCCGCCGGAGGCAGATGTGTCGTGGCCGTGTCAGTCAGGACAATGTCCTATGTAAACGCTAAAAGTCCCTTCCAGCTCCATTTCATTGTTTCGACGCTATGTCATTGGACGCACGGCTTCATATAGTCGTTTAGTCAAAAGCTTCTTTTTTTTTTGCTTGAGGCTCCGGGCGTATTTCAGAATTTTAGTCTCGCAATTTCCAATGTGCCAAATTCTCATAACCCATCTTGGACGCATTATGGATGTATAAAGGTAGGGCACTTTATTAGTCTGCGAGAGTTATACTACTCGTTATGCATCTGCAGCCTGCTAGTTTTGGATTTGAAGTATCTGGCAAATTGCCAGTTCGCACTGCGACTGAAGTCGCGTAAAGTATGCTTTAAAGGCAGCGGCTCGGCAGATTTTGCATTTCCATCTTTTTTGCATGTTTTGGGCTTTTTCGACCCGTAGATCCCGAATCTGAGCTTTAAAAGGGGTGAAAAGACCTTTTTCGGGGCGTTTTTTCCATTTTCCAAAAGGCAGCTCGGACGAGAATTTTCAAAGAAGTCGGGAGGCCCTGGCACGAAGACCCTGCTGCCTGTAATTTTGGCTTTGTATAGCATGCACAATGCGGGAAACCGGTTGGGGGGTCCCGCGCCGTCTAGCGGAGAATACTCGTCCGAACAAGGTGTTAGGGGAGCGAAAGGAGGAAGGGGAGCGGCGCTTGGGCCGCCCCTTGGCTTGCAGAGTTCACATTTTCGGCGCGGAGTTGCTGTTTTGGTTCACTTAGAGGGCCTCTTATCCATCTGTGTCAAAATCTGAGGTAGGTCAATCTGCCGAGCCGCTGCCTTTAAGCTCATCAGGTTCATAAAGATGATAAATTTAGACATCCAAATCCAACTTCCTGTATTTTTTTTCTGGAGATCATGCGACTTCACAGTAAACTCCGATCATTTTTTTCATGTTGAGAAAAACTGAAATGGAATGTAAACTTTCATAGCCATTTATCAATGAATAGCGCATGTGCGGTTTTGTGCTTATCAGTGCAGCCAGATCATCTTGATATCTGTCATTCAGACATTTCCGTATACTCTAATGTGTCACAGATTAGATAGTATAGTTGGTTAGTCCATGGCTTACTACCACTAAACTCATATCGTTCTCTTTTTCTTCATGGAGTCATTTAGCTCAGTTATGCTTATTGCACAAAACGCGCGCTACCTCACGATTCCTTCAGTTAAAATTTCCTACCAAATGTTTTCCTTGTTTCTTCTTTCTTTTAGCTAGATTTGATAAGTATGAGATGTATTTCACAATTCCACAGTTTGTTTTGCTAGAAAATAGGCTTTTCCCGTGAGTTGTATGGCTCACATATTGAGTTACAAGTGACTCGCGCATACATTCGATGAAGTAGATTATGTATTAGGCTGCTGCATAAGTTCTGTCCGATTTGAATTTTTTAAGTTCAAAATGTTATAACTTTTTCCAGAGTCAGCTTTCTCCCAAGATCTTTGTTTCTCTGTGTTTGCAGTTCCGTGGCTATCTGACACATACAGGGTGTCCCAAAAGTATGTATCGAACGTTTGATCGTTAATAACTCTCTTCCCAAGAAGTCTTTTGCCTTGCTTTAGGTACCGTTTTGTAGAGCTGGCTTCAACTTAGATTTGCACTATAGAACGAATCATTCATCTCTCTTCATTGCTGTAGGATTACGGTAGAAACTTGCAACATATGGTGTCAATGTGAAAAAAGCTGCCGTTTCAAAATTTTTCAAAAAATCGTGAAAACTTGTGTAATAGGGTTTTTATGGACGCTGAGTTCAATAATTAACTATTCACAAGATTACGAAGCTTTCTAAACGGTGCAATCCCACTTTTTAGGAACATTGAAAAAATGGCCGCTACTTCTTACCTGGCATAACTCTTCAATGAAGCATCATAATAAGTTGGGAACTTTACAGTTATAATCAGCAACTCTAATTAGCCTAGTGTAAAAGTTTTAAGGCTGTTTTGTTTCCTTTCTGGGGCAAAATATGGCCTTTCATTGCTTAAAACCCTCCTTGAAGTTTCTACCATAATCCTACAGTAATGAAGAGAAATGAGTGATTCGTTCTATACTGCAAATCTAAGTTGAAGCCAGCTCTACAAAACGGTACCTGAAGCAAGGCAAAAGACTTCTTGGGAAGAGAGTTATTAACGATCAAACGTTCGATACATACTTTTGGGACACCCTGTATTAAGCCTTGCCAAAATCCTCATTAAGGAAGGAGCAAGGACTCAAAAACTTCACAGCGTTTTCTTCAAACCTGTCTTTTTTGACATGGCAATGCCCCCTCATGAGAATTGATAGGCATCTTGTCTAACAATGAATAAATAGAGAAATCTCGCAGATTATTTCGTAACATATAAGAGCCCATAGGGTCTGCGTTGCTGAGAGATTTTTTTGACCAAGCAAAAATGAAGCCACTTTTTGACTTTGCTTCAGCACATGTGTGCATGCCTACTTACGAATTATGAAAATTTTACCATTGACGTGAGCGCCGAAAAGGAATTGGTGGATGGGCCCTGCTAGCGCTTGCTCTACCCCGCCACCTCCAACTTCGAACTCATCGAGTGCCTTTGTCCGCAGGAAGTTATTGCTTGTAGAACCTTTATCCAAAAAATTAATTTTCGACAGCAAATTGTACTACTAAGACGTTTTCTCCATGTAATCGAGCTTGTGCATATACTAGCTTGTTAAGACTTTAGATCTGAAATCTCCTACACTAAAAAATTTATTGAAATTTGATATGCGTTAGAAAGAACAAGAAAAGCACTTCTGGTGATACTGACAATATTGCATTAGAGATGAAATTCCCTTGAAGCAGCTGCTTCAAACATAAGGCGAAAAAAAATCGGACTGAACTTATTCAGCAGCCTAATACGTTTCTTTATCAAGCCTCCACTTCTTCCTACTAGGCTGTTGCATAAGTTCTGTCCGATTTTTTTGCCTCATGTTTGAAGCAGCTGTTCTAAGAGAATTTCATCTCTAATTCGATACGGTTGGTATCATTGAAAAGTGCTTTCCTTGCGCTTTCTAAAGCATACCAGAATTCAATAAAATTCTTAGTGTACGGAGATCACAGGCCTAAAATCTCTAAGTGGCCGAGGTACGTTCTATCCCTAGAAATATGTCCTTGCGAGGATATCTCCACAATGCGCCCTTCAAGTCAGGTTCTTTCATTGGCTTCGGAATAAGGGTATGGAATGCTAGTATATGCAGAAGTTCGGTCCCATGAAGAATACGTGTTGCTAGTGAAATTTATCCTCGAACATAAATCTTTGGTATAGATGTTTTACAAGCAATAACTTTCTGCGAATAGAAGTAATCGACAAGCTCAAAGTTGGAGGTGCTAGGGCAAAGCAAGAGCTAACAGGGCCCATCCACCAATTCCTTTTCGGCGCTCACGTCAGTTGTAAAACGTTCGTAGTTCATAAATAGGCATGCACACATGTGCTGAAGCGAGGTCAAAAAGTGGCTAATTTTTTGTTCGGTCAAAAAAATCTCTCGGCAGCGCAAACCTTACGGGCTCTTTTATGTTGCATAATAATCTACGAAAATTTCTCTATCCATCCATTATTAGAAAAGATGCCTATCAATTTTCATAAGGGAGCGTCACCATGTCAAAAAAGACAGATTCGAAGAAAAACGCTGCGAAGTTTTTGCATTCTTGGTTCTTCCTTAACAAAGATTTGCGCAGATCTCAATATGCATTTTTTAGCCAAGGGACTGCTCAACACATAGAAACTAAGACCTTGGAAAAAAGTTGACTCTGAAAGAAGTTATGACATTTTAAACTCAAAAATTCAAATCGGACAGAACTTATGCAACAGCCTAGTACTTCTTCCTCTCCCAACCGACCACATTTTGTTCTTTGTTTGCTTACTTCAAGGATCTGATTACAACGTCCCTGGTCTTTGATGCGAGCGATCAGCTGTGCGTAACGTAGTATCGACAATTCGATTTTTCCTCAATGTGTCCGTGCATCGATTATGCTGGAAGATCCTAGAACAGAATTTGGTATCCCTAATGCGTGCTCGTGCTAATTTAAGAGATTGATATGCGCTAATTTGAAGATTCGATATGGAATGTGGATGATTGAAAAAAGTTTCGGGGAAGAAGGCCACTGGAACGTTCTTGTTTTTTTCCTAGTTTTGAAATATTGCTGTGACCCATTGTGAAAGTTGGTGCCTTCTGTCGTGTTTGATTCTCGGTTTTGACTACGGAAGTTGGATTGGGTGCACGTGAAAATCACCTGTCGCCCTGCTTCGTACATTGCCAAGATTCGCTTCGTGTCGGTCGCGTGTGAACCGCTGTCTCGCCCCCGTCTGCAGTTGAATAATTCACTCGATTGATTCCAGATGCACCGGTCGGCCTCGCTCCTGTTGACTGCTTGTACTCTGCGGTCACCGGCGTGCAAACAACTGCAACGAGGCCTTCGCACCTCCTGCGCAACTCATTGCACGGCATCGGGTGATGGAAATGGCAACGATCTCACCCCTAATCCACCGAAGCAAACCTCGTTTGGCACTTGCCGTGAATGTGGTGGCGTGCTGAAACCGGCTCCTACGCTCACACGTAAGCTGCGCTTTCACTTTCTCGTTCATTGATGATTTTATGTCAATCTTAAGGGACAAAAAATTTTCTTGTATGTAATTTTTCAAGCATTTCTGTATGATGGTAGGCTAATAGTGTTCAACCTCGTTCACAGGTTATAGATAATCGTCATTTTCAGTTTCCTATGCGTTCTAAACGTAAGCCGAAAACTTACTATAGGCGATTTATTGCACGCAGAGACAAGGTGCCACTGCGGACGTTGTTGGCGTCTCTAATACACTTTCTCATTCTGCTACATAACCATTTGCTGTTTTTCCAAACACGAACTTATTCCAAAACGCAACTTCTGCATGCGATAACTAATATATATGTTAGATGTCGATAATGCAAAATTGTACCTCGAATGGCTTCGCCACAAAGGGGAAGCTTCTGGTTGCTAAACACGATTGCACATCTATTTTTTCAAGCTACGTCGTATGAGACTTTTGGAGTGAAAGTTCATGTTGACTGCGTAGATTTGATTCCTTGTCGCGCGCCTGAATGGAGAGGAATCCAAGAAAATGCAGTCTCTAAAAACTATATGTCAGGTCACCATAGAAACCGACTAGGACTAAGGTGTGAAACAAGTGGCATGCGAAATCCATTGTAGGGGTTTGGATGTCCAAGGGATATAAAACAGAACAGATTTTAGTATTTAATTGACCAGCAAATTGATTCTGTTTGACATCGGTTATCACTTTGTAGCGACTACAAGATACATCCATTGCGAGAATTGTAACAAATTGTACGCTGGCAACATCATAGATGAAAGCTCAAAGCAATGGTCACTCAAAGGTGATCAACGAAGAAGTCCACCTTATCCTAGTCAAGTGAGTTGTAACCCATGTTGTCTTTAGGGTTTTTTTACTCACATGTTCGCGTGATCATTTGAGATCCACACTCAATCTTTTTTTGTATATTGCTGCTGTAATGTTGTTTGTAGATTGCCGAATACTTGGATCGCTTTGTGGTCGGCCAAAAACAAGCAAAGAAAACTCTTGCTGTAGGGGTTTATCAGCATTACCGTCGTCTCGAACACAACATAGAAAGTGGAGCTGGATCCATTCATCAAATGAAAGAAGAGGTGAAAAGCACTCCCAGAGGTGTTTTGTATCAGGTTAGATTGAATTCTCTTTTTCATAAGTACCAGAACTCATGCTACTGTTCAGGATGAAAATAGGATTGGTCATATTGCTTCTAGCGAGATAAGGACGACTCCAATGGCTTCAGCCTACATGCAGGTAACATTACTTCTTCGACTTAACTATTTTAAATTATACTTCATTTTGTAGCAGATACCGAGTATGCAGCCTATAGCTCCTAGACGTGCACCTCCAGTGTTCCGCGCAATTCCCGAAAAAGAACCTGTAGTGAGACTTGAAAAGTCGAATATTCTATTAATAGGGCCCTCTGGAGTCGGCAAAACATTCCTTACCCAGACGTTGGCCAGGTAATTTCTAAAAATCATCTTCAATTGTTCTTCGTTTCTGATTACAGCATGTTTTCAGAATTCTTGACGTTCCAATAGCACTTTGTGATTGCACCTCAATGACCCAAGCAGGATATGTTGGTGAAGATGTGGAGAGCGTTATTCAGGTTGTAGAAATACAAACCACCTAGATTTATCCTTTACTTTCCAAGCTTCTTATTCGTTTCTTCTTTAGAAACTTGTACAAGCAGCCGGCGGAAATGCAGAGAAAGCGCAACAAGGCATTGTATTCCTCGATGAAGTAGACAAAGTAAGTTTTTAGTTTCATTTCCTGTTTTTCTTGATGACTTCGTTTCTTTTCATAAGCATTACGACTTCTGAATTCAATGCTTCAAAACGTGTTTCCCATCAATCATTGCATGACACAATGAGTGCTAGAATTAGCAGCTAAATTTGTTTAATCGACTTTCTTCTTGTAGATCGCTGCTGCACATGAAGGACATTCTGTTGCCTACAGAGATGTAAGCGGTGAAGGCGTACAACACGCTTTACTTAAGTTGGTGGAAGGTACTGTAGTAAATGTCAAAAGTGGACGTAAAGGAGTAGGAGCGCAACAAGATACCGTTCAGGTATCATCTCTGCTTCATCTTATGAGTTTTATTTTATTACTTTCTTTGACAGGTGGATACTTCGGATATCCTCTTTGTTGCGTCTGGGGCATTTAACAATCTAGATAAAATCGTTGCTCGCCGACTTGACAAGAAAAGTCTAGGATTTGGTAGGAAATTGTTTACACCTTACCCCTTCACATTCTTCGCGAAATTGCAAGATTATGCTTCTAAGGCTCATCCTCTGGTGAACTTCGGGTTTCATCGGACGATCCAAACTCTGAGCAAGCTAGAAAGCGTGATCACTTGCTCTCAAAGGCTGACCAGGGAGATCTGATCAATTTTGGTATGGTGCCTGAATTAGTTGGTCGTTTCCCAGTGCTAGTCCCATTCCACTCTTTCGATCAAGATGTAAGTTTTATTCTTTCTTCTTGTAAAATCTCTGCTCCCACCATACATCTTTGTTCAGATGTTGGTCCGTGTACTGACTGAACCACAAAACTCTCTACTCACTCAATTAAAATTGCAATTTGCTATTGATAACGTAAGTCAAACAGGTTCTAATTGTGTGATTATGACAACTCCTTTGGTCTTATCATTTAAGGTAGACCTTTCCTTCTCATCAGAAGCATTACAGCAGGTTGCCCAATTAGCACTGGAGCGAAAAACCGGTATGTTTATCGTGTCGTGGCTATGGTTCACGTCTTCTTCTTTCATTCAATTACACTCTAAAAATTTTTAGTGATGTATAGTCTCTGCGCTTTTTTCGTTTTTTCTCAGTGACTTTTATGACTATACTTTTGTTGGGTCGCTATTTTGCTTAATCTACTGATTCTTCTTCTCACTGATGGACATAGCATGAATGATGGGGGTCATGAATTCGTGCACATTTTACCAGTTGTATATTGTTTTCAGGTATCTTTTGGGGAGAAGGCATTTTAGTGTGCTTTTGATATGTATATAGGATTGTGGTACTGATTCCATACACAGCTAAAGAAAAAACGCCGTTTTGATGCGCTTATTTACGTTGACGAATCGACGAATCTAGCTTTTACGTTTGTTTTGCATTTACAAGTAGCTTTTACGTTGCGAGTGGGGCAGTTCAACTGCCTAGCCTTCTTAGCCTCAATGCTTACAAACTCAAAGAATCAAAGCAACATCTTCCTTCTGTCCTACTGTTTCCTACAATTTTAATTGTAATCTCAGGTGCTCGTGCTTTGCGTTCTATCTTGGAGGGTGTACTGTTGGACGCTAAGTTCACTGTCCCTGGTAGCGATATTGAATCAATACACGTTACACGGTAGGTTTATGATATTTATGTTGAGAATATCTACCCAATTATTCCTCATTGCAGGGAAGCAGTATTAGGAGAGGCTGAAGTGGAATACACGAGACGTCCCGCTGAAGTGAAAATCGAGAAGAAGGCTGTATCAGCCATGTAAAAAACAAATCATACAGTCAACAAGCTGCAAGCCCTTTATTGCGATCATCTGTTTGGTCAGATTTTTTCGTGATTTTTATCCCACATCAATATTCTTGAGTGATTCTACCTAGCATTCATGATACTCGCCTTTGGGGTGTTGTTACCGCTGGCTTTCGACCAGGATAGTATCTTCACTAATATCTTTCTGTGGACTTTTTTGGAGAATTTTTGCATCAAATGTCAGTCAATTCTCGTTTGGTACATAATGAGCACATGGTGTACATATACATGTATTACAGTTGTAGATTAAATTTTTTTTTAATTGTGTTCAGATTCTGTTGTGATTTCAAGGCCTAGAAGTAGACAAGAATTGAAATGATTTGAAAGTTTTAGTAACTTTGGTGTAATCATCTTTTTCTTTGGATATGTTTACAAAGCTTTTTCAGAGTGATTGCGTGCTTTCGTTTTATCTTCGTAAGTGGTTCGATTGCGAGGGATTTTGTTCTATCACTTGTACGATGTCGTTGTTCAGTGTTAGTTGAGTTATGGTCAGCGGTCTATTGTTGGACATGTAGAGTTGAAAATCAATTAGTTGTTCGTGTGTTGCAAAGGTGAGTACATCTTATGCTGTGCGAAATACGATGATCATGCCGTTTACGAAGAAACCAGTGGTGATCAGCCAATTACTACTTTTGCAGCGATTTGAACAGTGTTACGACCAATGAGTATCTAGCATTCGCTGTCTCATATTCGTACCTTGCCTAAGAATTGCTTCCACAGTCCATGCTTACACTTACTCTAGATTGACATCCGATTTCGGGACTATATTCTTGGCGGGCGCCGCGGGACATACCCACAATTGGCGTCAAAGGATGAATCTAGTCTTCCCCCGTTACCGTTCACACTGCAATATGTCGCCGGTATTTCCCACCCTCGGACAGTTGGCACGAGCTACGACGACACACATAGTGCATTCACAAAATCGTGACGACGGATTCGACTGTCTTTGCGCCTACAGCATTACAAGAGCACATAACATTCGGACACTTCGGCGCTCAGCTCAGTCAAAGTGTCTATCAGCTAACATATGCATAATAATCATGCTTTGTACAGAGAAGAAAGCAAGGAAATTGCGATTGTCAAAGCTGCGTACATACGTACGCTACGCAGCGGCCGCCGTCGTTGTTACGAGTTTACTTCGGGATTTCAGTGCCTTGCGAAAGTCGGCTCGGCCTCCTGAGCAGGGCCCGGCGCAGATATGGAAACAGAATGGACTTCGTTTTTGGGGCGAAAAAGCAAAGGGTGAATTTTCATAGCCAAAAATTGACGTTTTTTCAGTCGACTTTCGGTTATTTGAGTTCGTTTAGGGCTGGAAGTCAAAGAGGACTTCGTAAAATTTTGCGAGAGTCAAGTGGGACTTCGTTTTCAAGAAGCCTAGAAACGAATTCATGCCGGGCCCTGCCCCCGAGACATGCCAACGCGCAATTACGAGGCCATAACGTCTGACCACAACATGGTCGGAAAGGTGGGAAATTAGCGCCCTGGGGGGGGGGCTCTCCAAAGAGTCGTCCTATTCTAAATTGTGAGGCTTTGGAAACTCATGTTCTCGCCGTTTTCGTGCTTTGTGGATTTTCGGATTCAGCGTTGCGTATAACCCCAGGTAAGAACGTGAGAAGATGTAGAAAGTGAATAGGTCCTTGAAGGACGACAAGCTAGTGAGTCCACAGGGTCAGACTTATCCTCTTAGCCTTCAGGATTGGTCAGATCAATAAACTACCTGCCACAGCACTAACGCCCAAATGCCGGTTGCTCCCTTCGCCCCACTCGACAGTTTCCACGTGCAAATGCGACAAAAGAGTAATAACATTAAGAAGTTTTCAAGCAAAGCTTTGTTAAACACAACCTTGGGATTCAAAAGTCAGCAGGGATGAAAAGATAAAGAGCTTAGAAGTGTGACCTCCGTTTCAGCACCTTCCGCCGCTTGCACCAGGTCCTTGAGCACGCACATCAAGGTAATATAGTCAGTTAAAACTGTAAGTATTCCTTAAAGCGTTTGAGTAAAATTGCTCTGTGCTAACGCCGTGCTGGAACCGCTGGAACCCTAATTCGTTCAATATGGATGTACGCACGCACTGGCATGGCGCTGGCCCAAGTTCTGCATGCAAGCTACCCTAAACAAATGAAGGTAGGAACTCGGCGGAAGTACAAATAAAGAAGTTCAAGCTGCAAACTTTAGCCAAGTTCTTCTGAAAATACCGCCTATTCGGTGCGTTTCAAGTTCTTTGTTGTTATTTTTCTTTTGCTTTTTGGCGTATCGAGTGTAATTGCTAGGGTAAGGGAGTTGGTGACAAATCCTCTGCAGTTATGCGTCAAACGTATTTGACTTTTAGGTACTGAAGAGAAGAGGATACTGAATGACCGCCAATCATGACAATACTCGAGGGTTGTCGCTTATCAATCCAGTATCAATCTGGGTGTGGTGCGGAAGGCGACAATCCCCAACTTTGTGCCTATCAAAAACTATCCGGTGTCAAAGTGACACCCCGGGGGAGTACGGGGGTGGGGGTGGGGGCAGATACATTACTCAATGCCACAAGTAGATATCCGTGAAAGTCATTGAGACGGATGATACACAGCCTCCATTTTTCGCCGATTGTCGCCTTCCGCGTGCCTCCCCCCCCCCCCAAGCTGAACAAAATATTCGCTTACTCTGGCACCTACCTAACCGATCGTCCTGCTTTAGCAGGACGCGGCGCAGTTACTGTCATTTGACGTCATGTTATAGAGAAATCAAGTCGGCGTGCGCGACCTCGCTACAACAGAAACTTTCCACTGTTAAGGCCTTTCTGTCTTACTCTCATCCTGCGAGGCTTTTACATCAACCTCTCCAAAACTACTGTTGTTTCGAGCATCGCAGACGCCACTTAGATTTCCGTCTAAGGCCCCGGACAGACTTCATGCGATTTGATCGTCGCGACTAAATCGCGGCGAGACAACTGTTACAACATCATTCCAGCCGATCAACTTGCATTTCGGTTGTGATACTTTTCCAGCCCGAAATTTTTGAATGTGAAATGAAAATGAATGGGAATCTCGGCGACTGAATCGCGACGATCAAATCGCGTGAAGTCTGTCCGGGGCCTAACATGGCGCCAAATAACATCAGCTTACTAGTTGCGCAGCGCCCTGAAGCAGGCAATTGGTTAGTCTAGCGCCTACCTAAATGACAAAATGCCTAAGTGCGCATGCGCGAAAGTCTCTTCAGGAGAAAGAGAGCGGGTCCATTGGTTTATCCAAGAAAAAAGGGGACAATTCTTTGGCATACAATACCACTACATGAACGTTTGGTTATTCCAGTTCTTCGAAAGAAAAAACACTGTTGTTTATACATAGGTTCACTATACGTGCAGGTGACAACGAATTTATTCGGAACACAGTAGTCAACAATAAACATCTAGCGTAAACTGACTAGGAGTAGGTCTCCCATTCGAAAGATTCAAAACAAAGCGCCTATGGCTAACAGTCCTCCGTCAAAAAGATAAGATCACCTAGTAATAATATACACGTCGGAAGATTAATGGTGCTTGGCAGCTTGTACGGCTGCGGAAGGACCCAAAAGCATCTGTCGTTGTTGTGCAACCTATAAAGAAGTGTATAACTGCACTGTTATTGCCCTAATCACTCAAAACCATGAATTTCGCTAGATTCGTCCAGGGTTATTGCTATTATATTTAGGCTTTGACCATACTTTACCAGTGTTACGCTGTTACCGGTGTTACCCATGTTACCTAGTGTTAAAGTACTACCCGTGGTATGTTACCCTGTACGCTCATCAGTCAGTGAGAGTTCAAAAATGAGACTGCATTGGTGATTATATCACTACTGAATAGTAATAAAAGCGGTAACACTAATAACACTGGTCATTAGTAATACTTATAACACGAGTACTCGAGTAATACTCGTAACAAGAGTAGCACTAGTAAATCGGGCAACTCTGGTAACACCGGTAGCACGGGTAATACTGATAATGTACAGTCAACCTTACAAACTTTTACAAGACCCCTTTTTCGTCCAATTCAAAGCAACGCTGTTGTGGATAAGAATTAGGCGAGTTTTTTTAATATTTTCTACTAATATAGGCCCTCCCTCCTTACTGATGAGTTCCGGGGAGGGCTTATTAATCATATTTATCCGTCTAAGGGTAGGGACGAAACGGATATCTCCTTTTTTATGTTTTTTGTTTTTTCACTAACTTAACTTTTTAAAATTTATAATCCTTATCTTGTTTTGTTGTTTCTATTTCATGAAGCAGTAGCGTCAATCACGAGAGATGCGATTCTGGTAAGTAAATCAAATCCGAAAGTGTTTTGAACTATAAGCGAGCTTCAGTGAGAGTTTTCAGTTACAGTGGTCAGTGATGGACTGAGTGGGTGGAGAATAAGTTGAAAGTGACTATACTTGCTAACTTTCAACAACTGCAATGGCTCAAATGGAATTGGTCAAGAATTTCGATGCACCCGCAAACCCTTTCCATTCCGATATCAAGGTCGGGAACTTGCAAAAAACCTAGGAAGCTTAGCAAAAAATTCTTCGGAGCGCAGGTAGTACTATATCTCTCCAAAAAACAAAATCCGTCATGCTTCCCTCCATCCTCCAAAACTTGGTCCGACGCTAAGATGCAATCAAGTTACAAGTCCCAGAGCACATACCTGTGTTTTCTCCAAATCACTCCTTTCCTTCTCAATGATGTAGGGCATAAACATGATCAGAGACGTAGTGGCTGCGATCCAGACTGCTTGACGAGTCACATACCAAAGGTTCTTTACACCCCATACACTCCAAGAGGCTCCATTGACGACGGCTTTGCGTACACTGGCCGGAACCATTTCGGTGAGACCCTCTAGTCGCTCCAGTAGAGTTTCTTCGAGCTCGTCGTCGGGGATATCGTCAAACTCGTCTCTAGCTCTTAATGCCATCTGCAAAGAGGAAGTTCACAGGGTTGAAACTTTCAAAGCCCTTGAAAAGTCTGATATTCAATAAAAGACAGAGTAAATGAAACTGTTGCTGCCGAAATCATGTGGTAGGATGTAAAGAGAAGAACTGCTGAGAAAAGTGCTTGGAAAACGACGATGCAGTACGAAGAAGAATGTAAAAAATAACGAGGATTTTATGGAAAACCCCTCCCAAAGGAATAAAAAAACAAAATATTCGGTTTGTAGGCAATTTCCTCATCACCAAACAAACACTTGCCATCATATACCACCTTTTAAGGTTTTTCAAGAAGCGCAAAACTACTGGGACGTCACGGAATCTCCTAGAAAGTGCAGAGATTAGCTGCACTGAGGTCAGATCCGCAGTTTGCAAAATAAAAAAGATGGATGCTGGATTCGCGCCAGCTTCTTCGTGCATTGGTCCCAGTGAGAAGACGATTGCATCGTTTCGAACCTTTAATCGATAAATTTTGCGCGATTTTTCGAAGAGTTTCGTCAAACTCGTTGTGGCATTTGTTATCGTGCCGGTGTTGGTTATATTTCATTTTGTTCGCAACTTGCATTACTCGTGGTAGTAAGAAATCCGGTTACTTTTCTGTTGTAACGCGTAGGTGAGGTGTCTTCCCTTTATAGTAAAATGGGGAGCGCAGCTTCATGGTTTTTTACTCGCGTAGTTTCTGCCTCACTTTTTGCACATCAAAGCAATGTTACAATCGGTAATCGTCGTGGATTCATGACGGTATGTCTTCATCGCATATCAAAGTGCTCAAAATATAGACGACAGTAAGTCTTCCGTAGGAGGATTGCAACTAGTTGACGTACGTTTGCACATCTAAGGTCATATGGAACGTCTGAGCTTGAGGGCAGCGATTGGTCAAAAATCCGTTTTTTCAAACCGACGTACGGCTGGACCAGCGGTTGTTCACAGCACTTCTAAAAAAGTTTTTAAATTTTTGATACTTCTTCCTAGATCCTTGGATGAGCTGTTCATTCGATAAGGACTCCAAACCTTTGATTTTCTTACCACATCTATCGGTCGAAATGAACCGACTCTGATGAACTCATCAAAAATCGTGCTTGAAAAGCTGTGAAAATCGCCCACTCTGCGTCAATGTGTCAATGAAACATTGATTGGAGATTTCAAATACGGAAATGCTTGAGCGCCAATTCATTGGTGATTTTTATCCAGGAGATTTTAACTTCAAGCTCCTGCCCAGTACCGTACTCTCATTGAACTGGCCAATGAACTCCCTCGAATTGTTCGTCAAAAATGATGAAGTTGAATGTTGTTGCTAATGATTCTTAAAAGCGAAACTATTATTGCTTGTCTTGCTTGCATGTTTGATCTAATCAAAACTTGTTGTCTAATAGCCTCACAAACTCACAAATTTTGTTTGGTTTCATTCTTGCTTAGTTCTGATTTACCTCAAGTTTGAAGTTTTTTGCGTAATATATATTGGGCTCCGCTCGATCCTGTTCAAACTTAATGAACATCGCCAGTTCTTATTCGTACGTTCCGTGTCTCTTCACTCTTCTGTATGCCAATCCCCCCCCTCTCGTTTCCGTAATCAGCATGTTCACCTAGCCCTCTATATCAACTCCCAGCTCAGCTTGAAGTTTGCCATAAATAAAGTTGATGGATACAGGAGACTTTCCCACATTGGTGTTAATTTCGTAATTGCCCCCCCTTCCCCTCTCCACCCATCAACTCTCAGCGCTCAGCATCAAGTTTTCGAAAGGATCGGTAAAATCGAAGAACCGGCATTTAACTCTATGTATGAGATGGTTCAGCTTTTTTTACAGTAGATTATGCATCATCCTTCTCGAAGCTTTCAATCTTATATTTGTTTGTTTTCCGTCCGTTATTCACGTTTTGCTGATGTTTGAAAATCGATGAGACGAACAAAAGGTATAAATGTGATAAGGAATCTGGTTTTCCTACCCTTGTGGATTATTTCATTTTTTCCCGACTTTCGTTGCTCAGAGATCATCTGAGGGTTCATTGACCACTATGTTCCAGATTTTGACTTGGACTTGGTTGTCATAATCAGCCATGAATCCCAATGAAAGCTTTTTATCTACAGTATCAACAGCTAATCCTAGCGCATCGGTGAGATTTTCACGTTTCTGAAAGTATCGAAATTTTGTATCTTGTAGGATAATTTGGATGAGAATTTTAAGTCGGTGAGAATTGTTGGTCTTGCTATCTGGTTGTAGAGCTAATTATTTCTCTTTCAGGTGATGGCCCGAGTAGTTGCCAATGTGGTAGATATGCAACAACATCTTGTTAACCAGTATCAGACTGTTGTCAATTCGATGGAGTCCTTGAAGGTTGTCTTTTGTCTGATTGAATATAGGAACAGTATATGTGTATTTTTATCTTCAGAACGAGTTACACACATGTACGCAATCATTGCGAGAAGATTTGAGACGAACTGACGACCGAGCTCAAAAGCAGGTATATATTTGCTTACCGGTATTTTCTTGATATTTTTTGATATATCTTGACATGGTTTTCTTTTTTGTTTATATTTTCTCGATTTCGCGAAATAGTTTTTCATGATCGAGCGTATCAATGTTTCAGGTTGACGATCTACGAGCTACTCATGCTAACGAAGTGGAACGTTTGATGGACTTGATCAAGACTTTGCTCATAAAAGATACGGCAGCTGCCGCGCATGCACCTCCTAAAGCTGCCGAACAGCCACGAACACCCGCTCAGATTGTAAGCACTTGTGGTACTGATTGTAATTTGTGTTAATCCTTCCGTTCAAGGCATACGCAAATGCTGCACCAGCTGGCACTTTCTTTGGAGCTTCCGCCGCTGTACCCAACGATCTTACTGCACATGCACAATATATGGCCTACTATATGCAACAATTACAAGAACAACAGGTTTGCGACGAGTTGCAGTTTTCCCGAACTAGAAGTACATTTCAGAGATTGCGCACGATGGGTGCTCCGAGTGGATTTTTTGGAAGTCAGGCTGGCGTTGGTATGGGTGCCATGGGAATTCCTGGAGCTGTCCCACAAAGGTGAAGATACAGAAGTTTTGTTAGATTAAATCTACCTTCTTCATTGCAGCCAGCACCCGATGGTTCCTGTAGCAGCCACTGTTCCTACTGTACCGAAACCGCCTACTGTAGCCCCTCCGATTGCAGCTGTACCACCAGTAGCTGTCACCACTTCAGCTTCGATTTCTATACCTGCTGCTACAGTTGTGCCTACTGCTGTACCAGCAACCACTAGCACTCCTTCGGTGTCTACAGCTTCCACTACTGCTGCTGCCACGTCTCTTTCAGGTCGGTTCTTAGTTAATTCATATGTTGGAACATGTATGCGTCTTTTCTTTGTAGCTTTATCAAGCCTGTTACCAACTTCCAAGACGGGAGCCGCTACTGCAACTGTTCAGCCTAAAGTAGAACCTGCCAAGGTATATAGATGCTGGGAGTTACAGTCTGTGTCAACGATGTGCTCTTTTCTCGATCAGCTGAAGCGCAACGCTAGAGCCCCGTGCCAGGGCCTGGCACCAGCTGGCATTGGGCAAGCTGGATATCGTTTTTGGGGCAGAAAACAAAAGGGGTTTCGTTTTTGTGGGCGAAGATATACGCGAAATTGGCGACGGCGACCTTTTTTCTTTAGTCGATGTTTCGTTTTGGGGGGTTTTTTAGGATTTTAGAGGGGATATCGTTGAGGATCAAAGGGGACTTCGTAAAAATTCCCAAAAGTCAAGGAGGACTTCGTTTTGAAAATTTCTTGGTGCCAGCTCGTGCCGAGCCCTGCCCCGTGCCACTTCGCGAGCGTACGGAGCGTTTAAATTTGCTGCATAGACTAGAGGTCGCTGCGCAATGCCCACGCGCTGCGATTGCGTAGTTACTATGGGGAAGGGGCACGCGGTTGGCACAGGTTGTACTTAAGAAGTTGGCTAACTTATGTTAGACGTCGGTGCTTTTTTGTGCTTTTGTGCGAAATGCTGAAAACTTACTACGATGAAATATTACGTCAACAATGGATATCGCTTTCAGACTGAGGCCACACCACCCAAGCCAGCATTCTCTTTCATCACTCCAAAACCTGCGACTACTCCAGTAACATCGGAGTCTAAACCTGTTGCCTCCATTTTTTCTGGTGTGAAGCAAACGGAGAACATTTTTGCAAAAAGTCAGTAACTTTTTTGAATTGTCATATTTTGCAGTTCAAATGATTATAGCTCCGGAATCGAAGACGGTCATCAAGAAAGAGCAGGGCCATGGAGATGGTCATGATGAAGAGGAGCATGAACATGTTGACGAATTTGAGCCACAAGTGGATTTCAAGCCTGTATGCCCTCTTCCAGAACTTGTGAAAGTAGTCACTGGTGAAGAAGATGAGAAGGTAAGTTTGATAACCCTTGAAGTTTTTTTTTCGTAGCTGCTCGACAGTACCTCTGCAACACATAATGTGGTCCTTTCTGTTTGATTTTTTCAGTACTCACGACGTCTCGCTGCAATTCTGTTGTTTTAGGTGCTGTTTGAAGAACGCTGTAAATTATATCGTTTTGCTGATGAAACAAAGGAATGGAAGGAACGTGGTACTGGAACTATGAAAGTACTTGAAAACCCTAAAACGAACAAGTTCCGCATTGTGATGCGCAGAGAACAAGTAAGTCTACTGCGGCTCAAATTCCCCTTTTAAGCTATGTTCTTATCTGTTCAGGTCCATAAAGTATGCGCAAATCATCAACTCTTGGCGGGAATGACCATCCAACAGATGCCTCGCCAAGAAAAAGCAATGATGTGGTACTGCGAAGATTTTTCGGAAGAAGAAAAGAGCCACGAAAAGCTCTCTGCACGTTTCGCCAGCGTTGAGATTGCTAATAAGTTCAAAGACGTCTTCGAAAATGCTGTCAAGAAAGCTAGCCATGGTACCTTTTTTTTTTCAAATCTAATTTAGTCCAACGTTTTGGCTGTTTTAGGCACTCCTGTCAAACCCACAGTGAAATCGGAAGCCAATAAATCTGATGAGAAAGTGGCGAAAGAAAAGGAAGAGACCAGCAAAGGCGATTCAAAGGTTGCTGAAGTGAAAGCAGATGAGAAAAAAGGCGAAAGCGCGTCCGGAGTTCCAGTAACGCAGAAAGGATATGGTGATCAGTTCAAGTTGCAAGCTGGACAGTGAGTTCATGTCGCATGATTTTTGCTATGGCAAACAGATTTGAAAGGCTGATGACTCAGGTGGGAATGCCCAGAATGTTACTCGAGAACGGACGCCGATAAGTGTCCATGTTGCGGAGCACCAAAGGGAGGAGAAAAAGCGGCAACTCCTGCTACTAAGTGCGTTTGTACATCTACTTCCCACGGTAAACTTTCAAAAATCCATTTTTTTTTTACTTTATAGGTCGGTCTTACCTGCTTCTACCATTCCTCTTGGTGGAACAACTGGTGCTGCAGCACAACAAAAGTTCACTTTTGGTTTGAGCGCCGCAGCAGCAGCAAAAGATTCGCCAGCGTCGGCATCGAGTACTCCAAAGTCGTCTTTGTTTGGGTGAGTTTGCAAAATATGAAAGTTTCTCCAACTCAATCGAATCTGGTTTGTTGCAGGGCTTCGTTGGCTACAAGTACTTCCGGATCCACTCCCACTACTGGTTTCACTTTTGGATCAAAGCCATCTATTTTTGGTGGTGCTACTACCAAATCGGGTATAATAGTTTTTACTGAACAACAACTTTATTAGCTTTTGTTGTTGTTTTTCCTCACACTTCTCAATCATGTTAATCACTAATTTAGAAGCTGTTGCAGAAGGATCTACGCTGCCCACATTTTCGTTTGCTAAAAAACCCGATGCAGCTTCGACTGTTACATCCACATCATCGTCTACTACTTCCGCTCCCAGTCCTGTAACCTTTTCATTCAAGCAAGGTAAGTTTCAAGTGTGGGTGTTAAAAAAAAATGTTTTTTTCGTTTCAGCCGGATCTGCTGCTTCTTCTCCAGGCACAGGCAGCTCCCTTTTTGGTGGCAGTAAACTTTTTGGCACATCCAAGCCCGCGGAAGAAAAGAAGGATGCGGATAAGTCGGCGGAACAACCAAAGACTGAGCAAAAGGTTTGAAACTCTAGGTTCTCAGTGTGTACTGATTGTTCTTGTTTTCAGATATTCGGAAGTGGCTTCAGTGGCAATCTTACATTCGCCAGCTTAGCTAAATCTTCTAGTGGCTCAATCTTTGACAGTGCACATACTCAGAAAGCCCAAGCCGAGTTTGCGGCACAGGCCAAGAGCAAGGTTTCTGTGCCAAACGATGAAGTCTTACTTTTGAATTAATCAAAGCTCAATATCTGCTAATGTTTGTCATTTAGCTAGCAGCTGTATCCGATCAGAAGGATAAAGAAAAGGGAGAGAATAAAGAAAAAGCGGGTAAGGGAGGCAAGGAAGATGGAGAAACGGAGCATGGAGCTGACGAGGAGTACGAGCCAGACGTGCAGTTTGCCCCCGTCATTCCGCTCCCTGATTTGGTAGATGTTGTAACTGGTGAAGAAGAGGAGGAGGTAATCATTTTGGTTGCTCATCAGCCTCCTAATTTCTGCGCTCAGGTTATTTTCACCGCTCGCGCAAAGCTCTTCCGTTTCATCAAGGAGACTAAGGAGAACAAGGAACGCGGTGTTGGTGATTTGAAGGTCTGCTGTGCTCATCTTTTCCATTTTTTCTTTTTTTGCAAAATTAGTTAATTGTTGCAATCGTGTCTTCAACTATATCAAAATCTCAATATTATCCACTTTCTACGTTTTCTTGTTTCGGCCTGTGCTCGTGATTCATCAGTCGTTTTCTAGATTTTGCGTAACCCCAAGACCAAATGTCATCGTGTGGTTATGCGCCGTGAACAAGTGTATAAAGTTTGCGCGAATTTTGCCATCCTGCCGTCTATCGAGTTGAATGAGAAAAAAGGAATGCCAAACGTTTACAACTGGGTCTGCCGGGTAAGGCCAAATTTTCTTGCTCAAGTTGGATACATAGTTGATTTTATATTTTAGGATTACTCGGAGTCACCTGAGGGCACGGATGAGATATTCACAGCTAAGTTCAAGACCGCTGAAATTGCAAAAGAGTTTCATGATAAGTTTATCGCTGCTGCTGCTACGCATCCGGTGAGAGAAATTTGGAGATTGTAGGTTTAGTCAAATTCTTGCTTACAGGGTGCTTCCAAGTAATGCGAGCTTCAAGTGCACTGTGTTCGCAAGTGGGTCCTATCGCTCTTGTTCATGTTTATAAACTTTTGATCTGACTATTGCCTTCCTTAACTATCATTTCCTAAATCGGTGTTTTGATTTACAGTCAGCATTGCGAGAATTGTAACTTGGTGATGCAACATTATCGTTTTGAATAAAGTTTGATTAAAATTGTGAATCGTGAAAAGAAATTGCTCCGTCGTCAGCGTGAAAGACGTGTCTTATTTGAAGCGTTGGGAATTGGTGAACGTGAGAGAGGTGAAGGAGAGTAATCATATTAGTGCGGAAGTTTGGGAAAAGTCGAGATTCGGTACCGAGTTTATGTCGTTCTGTGTCGCAGGGGTACTGTCCTTGCGTTAGCGTTCTGCTGTAGTTTTAGAGCCTAAACAAAGAGATCCAGAATCAGGGGCGGTTCTATCAATCTCCTGTATATCCTCTCATTCCTGGGTAAAGGAAAGAAAGCCGCCAGTTTGGGCAGCCTCCGCGGACTGCTGGTCCTGGAACGACATGCAACAACACTGCGAAAGGACCAGTTGGCTGCGAAAGTCGGCTCAAACTGGCGGCTTTCGTTCCCCCACCCCTCATTCCTCTTCGGGAACGTACTGTGCAGAGCAGCATGCCAGCAAAGCAAGCGGGTGTATATCAAAAACGCCTGCTGGCGTAAACTTTGCATATCGCCAACAGGGTGGAGGACATTAGGTCGCCGAATTCGGAAGAGTCCCGCGCGGATTCCCTGCAGGAACGCATGTCCGCGCATGAACAAGGGTGCGTATTTGTCGCAAATGACCGCGGGGACCGCCCTTTTTCGGCGACCTAATGTCCCCCACCCTCGCAAACACATGAAAACCCATCGTTTTTCATGTTTTTTCTTTCCTTTTGGCCCTCGGGCGCAGTTTTTGCATGTATATGCACATATAGTGATCACGTCGACAAGTGTGAAATGAGATATGGGGATTAAGGTCATTCTTCTCACGAAGTGCTGGATGGCCAATTTCTTTTGAATATCAGTAATTCGTTACATATTCTGTCAGGACAATTTATAGCAGTGGGATAAGTTAGAAATGCAAAAATGTGTCAAGAGGTCCTATTTTTAGCTTAATGAGAACAGTACATACTAAATGGTGTAAAATGAAAGGCTAGAATGAACCACATTGATTATTCGTCACTTCGTTACTCCGTCACAATCATACTGTCCGGATCTCACCCAAGGCCCCGGACATACTTCACGCGATTTGATCGTCGCGAGTCAGTCGCCGTCATTTCCACTCATTTTCATTTCACATTCAAAAATTTCGGGCTGGAAAAGTATCACAACCGAAATGCAAGTTGATCGGCATGGAATGATGTTGTAACAGTTGTCTCGTCGCGATTCAGTCGCGACGATCAAATCGCGTGAAGTCTGTCCGGGGCCTAAGGGATCGGCCAGACTATTCCAGATGATTCTTGCCATATAGCTTCCCGCACAGTTTAGGCGCCACTTAAATGAGCGCGTTCTGCGTTTGTTACTTGGTTCCGCGTAAGGTAAAATTGAGTGATTCAGTATCTTGCTGTGAACTTTCTCTTTTCTAATTGTAGACATATTCACACCTTGTTACCAATATGAAGGTGTTTCAAAGATGTTAACGAACGATACACCTGTTTCAAATCTCGCATTTCACCGAAAACAGTTGTTTGCTTTCACTACGTTTACAACTTATATCGCCAGCGTTTATGCAATGAATGTTGTTGAATACTCAGCACAAGGTATATGCTGTCTAATATTTGTGAAGACTGTGTTTTTTTTGTTCCCTCCATCCTAAGCAACTCGGTGGGAATGCATCTTGTTCTCATAGCGAAGTGATGCAGCTGTGTTGTATGGCATAAAGTTGTAATGCAAATCACGGCATAAAGTTGTAAGGAGTTGTAATGCAAATCACGACATAAAGTTATAAATAATCGGCGTGGAGACTGTCAGACCATCTAGTTAGTTTACGTCTCGACAAAATGTAGTGAGCAAGCACTTGTTTCCGGTGAAATGCGAGATTTGAAACAGATGTATCGTTCGCTAACACCTTTAAAACACCTTCATATTGGTAACGACGTGTGAATATGTTTACAATTAGAAAAGAAGGAAGTTCGCAGCAAAATACTGAACCATTCGATTTTACCTGCGCGGCACCAAATAATAAACCCAAAACGCGCTCATTTGAGCGGCGCCTAAACTGTGCGGGAATCATAGGAGTTGCAGGAATAGCAGGAATCATCTGAAATAGTATGGCCGATCCCTAAGACACTGCGTGGGTTCAAGGGTCCGATCTGGCAAGTTTGGCCATGTCGGGCACGTCAGGCCCGATCTTGTTAGATCGGGCTTCGCTGCCCGTTCAGGCCATACTAACAACCTCACAGAAAACACGATTTGGACGCTCTCGCCTGTCCGGGTTGTGTACAACTATGAAACGCGCCCGAACAGCGAGCGGGAGATTGATAAATACCGCCTCAGGAAATATGCCTTTTCAAATCCATCGGTTGTCTCCAATATTCCTAGTACAAGTATGCAGCGCAATGTTTGTGTAAAGATTGTGATTTGTCGTGTGGATGAGTTTTTCATGAGCGGAATATGGGAAATAGGATTCACATGTGGTGTTAAATCGATATGCTTTCTCCCTACACTTGAGGTAGGCGAAACCTGGCTCGTTCCCACGGTAAACGAATGAACACAAAAAGTTCGCCGCGGTTGCGGATTCAGCGATGGCGATGTGTCACTTTGGCTGTGAAAAATTAGCCGCTTATCATTCATCCTGAAACGAAAAGACTCGAAACCGCTTTGGATTACTATAAAAGTTGGAGTTGTGGTCAACTAGTTTGTGCTTGTTTATCTGATCTAGCCTTACTCATTTTGGAACCACGGAAGAACAAGTTCAAAAATGTCTTGACAACGTATCTATGTAAGGGCTCGGGCAGAGTTCACGCGATTTCATCGTCGCGATTGATCGCGACAAGACAACTGTAACAATATCATTGCAAGCCGATCCTCTTGCATTTCGGTTGTGATAGTTCTCCACACGACTGATCCTGACTGACTATCACAACTGAAATAAGAAGATCGGCATGCCATGAACTCGTAACAGTTTGTCTTGTAGCGATCAATCGCGACGATGAAAACGCGTGAACTCGCCTGAGGCCTAAAGCGTTTTCGAGTTTATCTCAAAGGAAGGATCAAGTCAATGCAGGGGCTTGTAACAAGACAATCAACCATTCTTCGACTAAGAGACGCGAGCACGTTTTGCGTACGTTTATTGACAAGTTCATGAGTAACTAACGCGTTTCGGATGATTTACTACTGGTTCTTGTAAGAACACGTTCAAGCAAGGTTGAACAACACGAGTTCAAACTTGTTCTTTCACGAATCCTCAATAGTGCTTGGGAGACGGTCGAATGGCGCGTATTGATCGATTGTCATTAACCAGAAAAGCCATGAAAAAAGCTCGGATTTGGTTTAGTATTTCCGGGATTTCAACTAGTAATCCTCTGTTACTATTTCTGATATGATAAAACTTTAGGAGTGTTTGGAAACTTCGCTTTTGTAGAGTACAAATCCCTTGTGGCAATGACGACTGCGCGCCTTTCGACATAATGTCCCTTCCGAGTTGCTGCTCCCCTTGGTTGAGTCTCGGACCTGCGGAACATTTTGGCGACGCCAGCATGTTCATTGTTTTTTTTATTCATTCATTGTTCATTCATGTTCATGTTCATTCCCTTATTCGACTCGACCGTGAGTGATGCTGCAGTTTATTCATCCTCCACGTCTATACTCGAAATGCCGGTTGGTACTCGAACCAAGAAGAAAGCGCCTGCAGTGAAACCAAGGCTGCAAAGGATATGTCAAGGAGAAGTAACAAATATCAATGAAGATCATCGTGAAGTAAGCGTTGAAGAAAGTCAGATGCTTCCTAGCATTGTGGAAGAAGATCTGAGCAGAATGTCAGCTGCTGAACTCATTTCTTCGATTGCTAAAATTAACAGGAACCCAGTTATAGCTCAAATGCTAGCCGTTCTTGCAGAAAAGGTTAACGCTGACATATCGGATGCAATAGAAACAGATAAGCGCTCACGCAGTTTAATAATATCTGGTATTGAGGAACCATCATCATCAATGAAAGCATCGGAACGGCGAGAATACTTGAGAAAGAAGATCGACGACGTATTAGATGTTTTAGATGTCGATTGTTCTCCCAACGAAATCTATTGGGTTGGCAAACCCAGTTCAACTCGTCCCAGACTAGTGAAGCTAGTTCTACCGTCGACCTATTACTGGAAACTAGCTCTAAGGAATGCTCATCTACTTCATCGCGCTGGAATGACAAACGTGTTTATCAGAAAAAGCATGACTAGAGAAGAGCGTCAGAATGAATATGAGTTGAGACAAGCTGCACAAGAACGGAATAATGGCAAACCAAGGAAAGAATGGGTCGTCTATCGCGGAAGGCTAACTCTTGTCGATGATCTGCCCAGCAAAAGGTCGGTAAACTTCTAAGTCAGCACGGTGCGATTAACAGTATTAACGCGTTGCTCATCAATGCTAGAAGTTTAGTCAACAAATTACACCACCTCCATTCTATTTTAACAGAAATTAAACCAGACATTGTCTTTATCACTGAAACATGGCTTACGAGTAAGATTTTTGATGGCGAAATTATAGCAGACACGCCGTACACAATTTTTCGTCTTGACAGAAATACTTGTAAAGGAGGTGGAGTGTGCATTTTAGCATACGATTCATTAGTACTCCAAAGAGTCGCTATTAATGAAAATATGAAAGCTAATGTTTTGTGTATTGACCTATATTCGAGTCAGAAACCCTGCAAAATTAGACTTATATTAGTTTACCGACCTCCTAACTGTCAGATAGCTGACGATGACTGCCTTTTGCAACTTTTGAGTGATCTAGCGAGTACAAATTCTGATACTGTACTACTAGGTGATTTCAATCTACATATCGACTGGAACAATAATAAGCCTCATGATGTATATTCTGCTAGATTTTTTGGCTTATTCAATCAATTAGACTTACGTCAATATGTAGATAAAGCAACCCATGCAGATCACACCCTTGACTTAATCCTTTCTAATTCGCCTATTATATCGAATGTACGAATACTAGCCCCCCTTGCAAACTCTGATCATTCCATGGTGCAATTT